AAACCACATTTCTAACTTTGCAGGATACGTTAACGTGACTAAAAAGCAAATTAATACTTTTAATGTAGCTGGATTTAGATTGGCCAATGTATACGTCAGTATGTTACATGAACACAGTTGGTATTTACCTAGTTCTGGAGAAAGCAAGATGATAAGGTAGAAAGACGTAAGTGATCACATGAGATTCCGAAAGCCTTAGTGAGTCAATCTTCCCATCTTTTACCATCACTCCCACCTTGAAGAGTGAGGCAAGGAAGCTCTGCTTGCACCCTGAGATATTTTCAGATTATGTCAGACAGTTTTTTTTAATGATCAGATTTATCCTTCCCAGCTCAGTTGAATCTTTCTCAATGCAGTTTGAATTGTAACACACATTTATTACAGAGGGAAGGAAGTGTCCTATTTGCAAACTATTTGGACATCAAGCCCTGTGAGCAAAGAGGTGTGGTATGCTTGTAGTTTTAACAAAATGAAAAATCAACTGCCAATCAATACTTTTTTTTTACCTGTAGTTCACACAAACAATATTTAATTGTTTTTCCCCTTTTTATCCTTCTAAGCAGGCCAATAATTGGGCCTTACTGAAGAAGTTTGCTGAGGAAGACGTAATAATATATTCTTAAATAAATGAGAATATAACTAAATAGAAAGAATATAATTAAATAAAAAGAAACTCAGAAAGTTTCCTGAGTGGTTCAGTCAATTTTATCCTGTTTTGTTCATTAGAATGGTTGTTACTATTTTCTCCATAGAGATCACCTGGTTCTCAGGCAAAGTTCGTTCCCTGAGACGGCAAGCTCTCATTTTAATTTTCCACTCTGCCTCTCCTGCTCCAGGAGTTTCTTTTATAAGAAACTTTTAAAGTTCAACTCTTGGTAAATAGTTCTCCGAGATCTGGGTGCAAACAACTAGATAACTGTAAGAGATATAGTTGTCATTTTATGTATTTGCTATGTAGAGATCATCCAGATCTTAATCTACAATTAGAGATTCAGGTTTCAATGATCAACATTTTTGGAAATGACCATGGTGACTGGGAATTTTAGGAGCTCAAAGCTACTTTATAGTGCTACAAGATTCCCTGTTATTTTTACCAAAACATTCATATCTGGTTTTTGGATAGAGGTAGTCCTCGACTTACAAGTTTGTTTAGTGACCATTCTAGGCTACAACATCATTTTAAAAAGTGACTGTTTTTCATACTTACGATCAATGCAGCATCGTCATGGTCACATGGTCAAAATTCAGACACTTGGCAACTGACTCATATTTATGACAGTTGCAGTGTCCTGGGGTCATGTGACTGTCTTTTATGACCTTCTGGCAAGCAAAGTCAATGGAGCAACTAGATTCACTTAACAACTACAGTACTGTATGTTACTAACAACTGCAGTGATTCACTTAACAGTTATGGCAAGAAAGAAATGGGGTTCTAAAATGGGGCCAACTCACTTATCAAACCTCTCACTTAGCAACAGAAATTTTGAGCTGAATTGTTGTAGTAAAGCAAGCTCTACCTGTAAGGGAAAAGACTTACCAATTTATGAGGGCCTGGAGGAAGACTTCCTTCCTTCCTTCCTTCCTTCCTTCCTTCCTTCCTTCCTTCCTTTCTTCCTTCGTTCTTCCCTCCCTTCTTCCCTCCCTCTGTCCCTCCCCCTTCCTTTCTTCTTCCTCCCTCCCTCCTCCCTCTCTTTCTTCTTTCCTTCCCTTCCTCAACTGATAACAGCTACAAAAACTGCCTTTACAGAACAGGAGGAAGGAGGACAATAACATCGACAAAAGATGTGCAGTTGCTTCCAAATGTATTGTCACGTTGCTTCCAAGAAAGAGCAGCTCTTTCACTTTGTGGCAGCAAGTATTTTCAGAGTTTTCTTCCTGGCCAGGCCTGTCATCTTACATTTACCCAGTATCTGATTTGAGGTACATGCCCAGGTAAAAGAACCCCTTGTGCAACCCTGACTTCTGCTGAGCCAGGAACAACCACTACAGGCTAGGGTGGATCCACTGTTTTTGGTTATAATCTAGTTCTCTTGTTTTTCATCTGATTATCCCATTTTGTATTTTGTATGCCTGAATTTGATATGTTAGAACACTGTTTCCCATGAACTTCATTTCCTGATCATAATGTGCATGTGCAAGATTTGATATGTAGAAGTCTGGAGCCCGCTTGCATTTCTGGAGGCAAATCACAGATTTTCCCTCCTCAGCAGCCAGAGTCAAAAACTGCCCTTGGTCTTAAGTCTTCTTCCCCCATTGCTGAGTTCATATATACTAATCCATATATCCTTGAATCGGCATGAAATAGAAGTCTCCGTTGTAGATCCCTAGATTCCCTACTCTTATGCCATTCAGTGACTAAAATAAATATTTGAACTGATTTGATGCCTATCCTGCCTCAGTTGCTCTATTCCTGGTCACTAGAATTAATTAATTTAATTTCAAAGGAGAGAATGGCATCATGGGGATACTTTAACAAAAGGTGTTGCAAAGACAGTTTGTACTCTATTCATTTATTTACCACCCCGCCATCCAGTAGGCTCTGCTAGGCACTAGGGCACAATGGCTATTAGTTTCAGGAACTTCCATCTGTAAAATGAGTAGATGTGCGCTAGATATGTTAATTCCTCGACAGTTTACAGTTATTTTCCCCACCAAGTAGGAATATTTGTCAGTGTCTAATTATGAAACTGATGAGCTCAGTTTGAATTGTGGGCTCCAAATAATATCTTCCTCCGAATAATGTCAAAAATTTGACAATGTCCATGGAGCTATATATTTTTGACTACGTTCCCCAATCTCTTGAAGCTTACAGAAGAATCTAGTAATCTGCAGAGGTGGTAGTGGAAATATCATCAACATCAATGAAAAATAATCACCAGTGACATCATCAATGGGCAAATTTTGATAAGTGGGAGAGAATTGATGGTGTAAAGTAGCAGGGACAAGATGTTTTCCTTTTCTTGGGGAGAACACACAAAAAGCCCCACTTTTTTTTACACAAATCATATATGTAATATATAAAAGAGATGGAGATTTAAATTCACAGGCGCCATCTTGATTTTTTTTTGAAACACCACCCCCATCCCATGGACATTCCTGGGGAAGAATTACATTTAATGTAATTTAAAAGCCAGTTTTAATGAGAGATGCAGGCTGGAAAAATTTTCAAAGTTTTCCACCTCAGGCAGGGTTGGCAGTTTCCAAATGGGAAGGTGTTTTATTGTTGATTGACTGCTGCCCGTATTGTTTCCAATATGCCAGTAAAAGCATTTCCCCCTCATAAAAAATATTTCAGTCTTTTTGAATATACCAGTGAAACCTCATAAAATAGGTTAGAGGTATTTTTCATATCAGATAACCTAGCCTAAACATATGTGCAGACGATAATAGGCTCAGCAGAAACATACTTATTTGTATAGGAATTTTTTTGGTTCCAAATTTTCTAGAAACTTGGTCCTCTGATTTTAGAGCTTAAAATAATGAGAAGTTGTGTGTCTTGTTTCGAGTAATTGTGGCCAGATGAAAGTCTAGAGGCCAAAAACAAAGGAATTAGAGTAGCCATCCCATAACGAGATCCAGAAAACTCTATCAAAAGGCAACGATACAATAGAAACAGCTTCCTACTTTAACCCTTACCAATAGGAACACTTGTTCCCTTAAAACATTTTGCATGTGAGAAGTGATAGGAAGATCCACCAAAATCTAGGCAAATAATCACTCAAGTATCTCAAGACAGAAGTGAGCTTAGTGCTAATGGGGTGGGATGGGGTGGGGTGGGAGAATTTTGTGGATTGTGTTGCTTGTCCTGCAAAATTCTAGGCTAAGAAAAAAATGCAACTTCCAAACTTGGCTAATATTTCAACATAAAGAATAGAGTGGATGTCATATTAATCTCCAACAGTAAAGGATCTGGAAAGGGCTCTGTTATTACTCTTTCATCAGTCTTGTTATTCATTTTGAGAAAGGTGGACCAGTAGTCAGAAAATTTAAAAGCAAAAAGAAACTGTGCTGCAGGAATTAATGTTAAATTCTTGAATTGAATCTATTGACATCTGCCCAATTATGATAAGCCTGGATACCAACCATGGAGAGAAGTGGTCAACTTGTCACACAGGGAAAAAGCAAGATAGTTAATAGATATTTACTTTTTAATTTCCCCATTAGAGATGGAAAGATGAACTTGTGAGATTCCCTTCTTCATGTACCCAAATAATTTGACTGACTTTGGATTTCATGCTCTTTGGCTTAGATGAGTGGGGGAGATATCTCTTCTTAAGCAACAGTAAATATTGGGCATTTGTTGCCTGCAACAGAAAGGCAATGATGTCTCTCCTAAGACAAGACATAGAGTGAAATATCCTAATTGATTTTTGGTTCCCAACATAAAATATCAAAAACTGTCTCTGGGTCCTTTGAGGGCAATAAAAAATAGCACAAATTACATTACTAATGTTTTGCTTCCCTTTCATGATGAATTAAATCATTCTGCCTCAGAAGAGGGATGATCCAGGAATGAGAAGGAATGGATTTCATTGTCTCAGACAAATCATTCCATCCAATTTCAGAGTCAGACTTGAGTTGTTAAGGAAGGAATGTAGAGCAGCAGGAATGCCAACAGACTCTGAATAGACTCTGTTCAATCCTAGTCTAAATCAGTTTGTTCTCTTGTAATGTTTCAGGCATTCACTCTGGTCCAACAACAATTCTGGGTCAAACAAGCAAGCAAGAATGGTTGCATATGTATGAAATTTCACAGAGTTTTTGTTACCAAATTCTTGTATGTTCTGTTAGAGACCAATGCTTCCCAAGGTGTTATTTGCACCCATGAATTAAGTTTGCAGGAATTAACATGAAGAACTTTTATCACTATCTCTGGTTTAACCTAAGCTTCACACTTTGCAAGCCAAGTAAAGAAAAGGCATGACAAATTCATGTGTACGAAAAAAAGGAAAATATTTATAGTTTTACATTCTGTTTATAAAGAGAAAACAATACAATATACCAAAAGTTTTGTTTCAATAAATAAAACATTTGTCATTCTGCTTGGCAAAACCTGGGGGAGGGTACCTAAAATTAAAATTATTCAGGTAGTTATTCAAATAGAGAGGACTTCAAACAGTGGTTGGAACAAATATGTTTTTTCCCCAAAAACTTCATCAGGCGACTATGGGGATTACATTCCATAAACTTTTTATCAACTGTAAACACAATTCTGGGTTTCTTAAACATAAACTTTAAGAAATTTGCTTTATGATGTTTGAGTATTTTCAAAACCTACTTATTGATGTTTGTAAGTTGGGGGCTTCTGATAATTCACTACCTACAACTGTAATTTATTTTGTAGGTGGGAAAATATTGAACACAATTTGATGGGCTATACTGTATTTCTTGCCAATTTAATCCCATGAGAAGAAATCTCCAGAGTAACCAGCATTTTACTCCCCAAATCATGTGCCACTGTTCAAAAGGGTATGGAGCTGTACCATAAACTGTTGGACTTTAAAACCCATCCTCTTTGATCATCAGACATGCTGACAGGAGATGGAGTCCAGTATCAACAGAAAATCTCAGACTCCTTGCCCCTTGCATAGACTTTCATTTCTGAATTTTTATCCAATTCAGTAGTCCATTTTTCTAATACCTTTCTGAAATAGAATTCTGTTCACTATACTAAGATTGCCATAAAAATAGAATAAATGCTTCCATACCTTTATCTATCTGCATGATGGACAGAGATACAAAAAATGAAACCTTTTCACCCCTGCCTGAAGCTCTACATTAGGGGGAAAAAGCTTACACCAATTTCATTTATATCTGTTATCAAAACTGTTTAAGACACAGAAAAATTGACAGAAGCAAACAAAACTCAAGGCAACAAAAATACTCCTAATACAACTATAGAATATGCTATGTAGGGCCACATTACTCATGAGCTTATCTTTGGAACCATAACACAGGCACTGTTTTCATAAATTTCCACTGAAGAGGTATTCTCAGCGGCTCCTGACTTACAATCAGGGGGGATCTGGGGCACTTTCCCAATCTCTGATCACATATTCCATCACCATTGTTAGATATGGCCCTGGATTAGAGAAAGGAAGTCTATATTGGCAGTCATCTCTAGCTAGAGGGCTTCTTGTCAAGGGGAAAGGCCTGAAAATTCCTTTAAAGAAGCCATTTACTTCACCCATGTCCCACTTCCCTATAGCAGGAAAGTTGGTCAGAGGTTTATAGAAAAGGGCACATGAGATGGTCTGACATTCCAATTTTTGTCTTTGTCATATCACTGGAGGCCTTCCCATGGCATCTTGGTGTTGTGGCTGTTGGTACCAAGGTCCAAAGCTGTTGATGTAGGTGTTAGAAGGCAGAGGAGGTCCTTTGCATGCCATGGGGATGTCCCAAAGCGGAGGTATGTTGGGTGAACATGGGGACAAAGATGAAGAGCTATGTAAATTATCTTCTTGGATGCTGGAGCCCTGCTTCATAATCTTTTTGAATTTGGAACGTTTGTTCTGGAACCAAATCTTGACCTGGGTTAAAAGAAAATGGGTGCAAGCAGAGAACGCATGAACAGCTACAATAAAATTGGGAGGAGTTTAATCTAGAACTTTTTGCATCTACATTTTTCTACTTTTTAATGGTTTTTATTTTCTCCCTACCTAATGTTTCTACTCATGGTTATTTTAGATTGGAAAATTCTAAATGTTTTTTCCCTCATTGTTGACCTTGTTCCAAGATCCTTAAAATTCTTGAATACCGAGGCACTTGAAAATAACAAATGAATGTTGTTGGATAAGATGAAAATGCTAAAAGGAAGAAAATTTCATGCTCTTTAGATTCAAAAGACACTTTAAAAAAAGCTTCTGAAGAGTGATCTTAATTCTGTTAGTTCTGTATCTAATAAAAGTTGGCAGTCATTGTACCTTCATCTTTTCAAGGTTTGGTTCACCTAAATTTCAGGTAGCCCTGAACCTAGGCGTATGTGGACATGTATGTAAAGTGATGGTCACTGCTAAATCGGACATGGATTTGTTAAGTATATCTGTTGCCAAATGCAAAGTACAGAGGAAATCAGCTCACACATTGAAGCAGTATCACATACCCTATAGGACAGGCATTTGGATATACTGTTCCAGCATTTTACTCCCCAAATCATGTGCCACTGTTCAAAAGGATATGGAGCTGCACTATAAACTGTTGGACTTTAAAACCCATCCTCTTTGATCTCAGACATGCTGATAGGAGATGTATTGTCCCAGCCTTTCCCCAAAGTAATGGCTTTTATATATAATGGTGCAAAACATTGGACTCACATATATTGAAAAAAACATTAAATTACTTGAACCCAATTGTCTGAATACCCACTGCTTTTGCTGCAAACCTGTTTGAGTATTACAAACTGTAGACATGCCCTCTTTGACAATGTCTACATTGGAGATGTACCCATGTGGCACAAAGTAGAAATGCCTTCTCCTGCATCATTCCCAAAGGATGTAGTACAGTCCAATAGGAGTTGCATTTGTCACCCTTTCCTTTGGATATGTGGCCAAAACATGTATTTTCCTGACTTGTAATTGATAATTAAGGTTTGCACTGGTTTAAATTTCTGCCTCTGAATTATTTTTGTAATCTGCATTTTATTGTTTGCTACCATCCTCGAATGCTCAAATTGAAAGATGGTATGCTTGTACACATATGCATGCACACATACAAACAAATATAAATCACCCTCATGGCAAAAAGTTGACTGTTGGGTAGCTCCTGCTACCTTCGAGTAGTGATCTTGCCTCTTTCCTTCTTCCTTAATTCCCCTCATCTGTAAAATGGAAAACAAGAACGCCCCATTTCCCGGGACTCTTGCAATGATCATCGCATTACGCTTATAAATATTTCCCAGGCAACCTGCTCTCACACGTCTTTTTCAGGCTCCCTGTTGAAGCCTAACCCTAACTGGTTGCTTCAAGCAGGGCTCCTTCCCATCCCCCCACCCTCAAAGCCTATTGCACAAAGGCACTTGTGGAAAGATTGAAGGAGGGCAAAGTGTAAAGTTTGGTCTTCAGGGCATGTTGAAGAAAAGGAAAACTACAGGCATCTGAGGCAAGAGACCCCACCCACTCCCTGTAGTCCTCATAGGTATGGGGACACTACCTTTTCTGATTAGTTTGCAGATTTGGCTCGAGTGCCATGCATTGCATCAGATAAGAATTTAAAATGCAAAAAGAAAATACAGAAGAAGAGTTTAGAATCAAGATAGCAAGCCTGCAGCTTTCTGAAAAAAAAAAGAGAAGAAAAAAAATCTTTTAGAGCTGGACCTGCTGGAAATTAAGCATTATAGAGAAGGGGTCAAAAGCAAGGAGTGAGTTTTTAGGAAAAGGGATGCAATGTCAATCTTTATCATTTTTAGATGCTGTGTTTCTCTTTCTTCCTTCAGCTTACCTTGCATTTCTTTCTCTGGGATTTTATCTATTTCTTTTCTTAATGTTTCCTTATGTGATCTTGCTTGATTCACCTTTTTTTAAAATTAATATAAATAGAAAGAGCAACATGCTTCGCCTATGAACCAGCAAAAGGGAAAGGCTGTCTCCTAAACAAAATTAGCACAGAAGGGTAGAGTGGGAGACAGATGCTAGTAATACAAGGAAGAGAATATTCTTAAAATGTGTTAAATTCTGATCTGATAGATTAGCTTTAACCTGTCAGGTGGTTAATCTTAAAAAAAAATAAGGCTTTGCTTGGTATTCAGCCAGACACCAGTGATAAAGAAGACATGCTTTGCAAACAGAAGATCCTAGGTTCAAGTCTCAGCATTTCTAGCTAAAGCTACCTGAGCAATTCCAAGTGATGTGAAAGACTGGTATTAAGAGGCCATAAGCTACTTCCACCATCACAGTAAATCATTAGTCAATAAGTGATGTGTAGATAAACAAAGGTCCAGCCTATTATTAGCATAAGAATCCTTGGTATGTTCAGTCTACAATGCTGTTTTCAAACTTGGCCATATTAAGATGTGTGAACTTCAATTCCCAGAATTCCCCAACCAGAATTCTGACTGTGGAATTCTGGGAGTTGAAGTCCATACAACCTACAGTGGCTAAGTTTGAAAAAACACTAATAGTTTTGCAAAATGTTTAGATGTGCTTTTAGTTAGAACCAATGGGGCAAAAGCATAATGTTGCAGATCCTAGTGCAGCCAATCAGAATTCTGATAATTCAATCCCCCTCATAGTTTTCTGTCTCTCCCCCCACCCCAGCAAAGATTAAACTAGGCTGTGGCTACTGAGCATGCTCAAACAACATTCATTGGCCTCTCTTAGATTCCCTCCCTCCCTCCTTTTATATTTATTTATTTATTTATTTATTTATTTATTTATTTATTTATTTATTTATTTATTTATTTATGTATTTATTTCTCACTGTTAGGCCACTCTAGGTGGCTTATAATAATAAATAGGAAGAAAAATGAAAAGGCACATAGACAAAAGTAAAATAGATAAAGTAAGCAATGTCAAAGAAACACAATGAGAATAAACACATCAATATATATGAGAGCAAATCCTGTTTGAACTTCCCAAGCAACAACCCTGCAAACTTCAGCAATAGAAGAAAGTCTAACATCATCAAAAATATATTTGCTGTGATACAGATTTCCTTCCTTCGCACTCCAAAAAAGGTAGTCTAAACAAGGATTTGCTGTTTACGGTGTGAACTCATCCCATTTTTGTCCCCAGAAAACAGGTTTTGAAAGCTTTTGTACTGCTTCAGAAACCAGCAAAGCCTGTGTGCCCAGAAGGAAATTTTCCGGACAAAGAAGATATACATTCAGCCCAGGAGAAGAGAAACCTCCCTGAAACCACCTCCAGCTCTCATTTAAAAAAAAAGTTTATCCCGGACTTTTATTGAACAAGTGCACTGAGCTGACAAGCCATAATTTCTAAAAAAAACAATAGTGTTAGTGTTATCAAGTAATCATTACTCACATCGACCCTTAAACTCAGAAAAGAGAACTTATTTGCCTTGAAGTGCATTTAACCTACGTCTTAACCAAAAAGCTGGGAATCCTTTTAATAGTAGGCAAATATAGTGTAAATGGGCAAGAATACACATTTTAATATTTAAACATAGGTCAGTATTTCTCAATCTCAACAAGTTTAATATGGGACTTCAATTCCCAAAATTCTCCAGCCACCTTCAGAGAAACAGTTGAGAAACACTGCATCCAAAATCTGGATCCCCTTAAACTCTATTGAAATTGACAGTCTGATTTCAGTGAAGATTCGGAGAGTACCGTAGTAGAAAGTTGCTTAACAGTAGTGCACCTAGAAACAATATTTAATCTACTAAAAACATTACTTTAAGCCTTTCATGCAGAAAAATATCTTCAAAATAATTAGCAAAGTTTAAAAAGCAATTTTATATATAATTATACATAATTAAACAATTAAACTGGAATTAATCCCAAATATTAAGACGTATGGACTTTAACTCCCAACATGTTGCTTGGGGAATTCTAGAAGCTGAAGTCTACACATCTAAAAGTTGTCAAGTTCTAAACTAAATAAAAACTATATTAGAAATAAGCATTACTCATAATGTATCAATGAGATATGGCAAGGCATGCTTATTTAGGGAAAACAAGCACCTCTTGTTTGTGGCCCAAAAAGAGAAATTTCATGCACGTGTAAGTTTTAAACTGTTGATATATAGTAGACTACACACATCGTTTTGTTGGTCCTAAACTTATAGGGAAGTGAGATTTGCTGTCACCTCTGCTGATCTCCAGCCTAGTTTTGTTTCAAGTTCAACTTATTAGCAAAGTCTAACTGATTTTACATTACCTGAGGTTGACCTTGGCAATGTTGAGGGTTTGAGGGGGGGAGAGTATTTCTTTAATATCAGTGTAACTAACTGTAATTTAAGTCTCACTCACATATGTGCTGGCAGTGAGATGAAGGCATGGGAATATGACCAAAAAAATGATTATGACACCATGTTTGTACTCCATTTAGGAACAAATCAAGAATGGTCTTAATGGACATTGTGGACATTATGTACTGTATTTATGATGGATAAAAATGCAAAATTTTTGTACATCATATACAGGGACATGATGGCTCAGTGGTTCAGATGCTGAGCTTGTCGATCAGAAAGGTCGGCAATTCAGCAGTTCGAATCCCTAGTATCGTGTAATGTATCGTGTAATGGACTGAGCTCCCGTTACTTGTCCCAGCTTCTGCCAACCTAGCAGTTTGAAAGCATGTAAAAATGCAAGTAGAAAAATAGGAACCACCTTTGGTGGGAAGGTAACAGTGTTCCATGCGTCTTTGGTGTTTAGTCATGCCGGCCACATGACCATGGAATCGTCATCAGACAGTGCTGGCTCTTCGTCTTAGAAAAGGAGGTGAGCACCATCCCCTAGAGCCGGAAACGACTAGTACGTATGTGTGAGGGGAACCTTTACCTTTACCTTATACAGCAGAAAAATCTGTTTCTGTAGGTGCACAACATTGTTTCACATGAAAGTGAGACAGAGCCTTGCCTTGTATAGCACCATTTCTATAAACTAGTACTGCATTGTGAAATATCTATCACACACCCATCCAGAAGCTAAGACGATCTCTTCGAGAACGCTCATAACCTGAGAAGTCTCTTGGGAAAAGATGATTGGCTGGCAATATTCTGTTTGGTTTCTTTCTGCATTCCAAGGAACAAATAAGTAGAAGAAGACCAAGCAAGTTCCACTTTCTGATATATCAATAGTAGATTTGTAAATGCTCTATCTGGAAAAAGAACATTTATTTATAACAATTTACAGCTTTAGAATTCTGCCATCCTGCCCTCCAAAAGCACATAGATTCCACCATTTTACTTGAAATTCTTCTTTGTCCAAATATATTTTAAGTGCCTCTGGTTAAGATCTCATCTGTGCCATTCATCTGTCTCAAATTATCTCTTTAAGTGGCTTAGCCATCTGTAAAAGAGGCAATTGTGTGTGAGGGACTTTTGACAGCACTGAATCTTATCTTTAGTGACAACCTCCCCTCTTTTCACAACTCATATGTCCATCCTTACTTATATCCTATCTTATTAAGACAGAATGCAGCATTCTCTGGGAAGTGATTCTAACACACTAAATGCTGCAGTTATTATCAATTTATTATTTTGTACCCATAGAATCTGCTATGAAATGTTGACATATATATAAAATGTTGCAATGACTCAGTTTCCATCTATCTTTGGTATCTAACATCTTTTATAATGCCCATATTTCTTTCTTTTATCAATCAGTCCATATTTTATAATCACCATGCTCAGTTTCAGTTCTCATCCAGCTGATTGGAGGTTTCCTTCCCCCACATTTAAATTTGTTTCCTAAGGTGTGTGTTTTTTTCAGGAGGTGTACATCTGAGTTTCCCAAAATTTGCTGATTGCCTCTTATCCACCACCTAAGCAATGTTACCAGCAGAAATGATAAGTTATTGCAGTGTTTCAATTTGATGCAAACGGACTGTCCAATGTATTTCTTATTGTGCTACTTATTTCATTACTTATTTTATTTTTGTACTGTTCCGAGAAAGCAATTTCTTTCTTCACAGATCATATTTTAAAAGCCATGGTGCGACAATTAAGTCATCAGGGAAAGCACCATTGATTTAAAAGCTTGCTCAGATAGAAGGTTACTTCGTTGAATTGGGGCCATCTTAATTTAACTCCCAGGTCAGTTGTGAAGATGGAAAATAGTTGGGAAGGACAAAAGAATTCTGAAGAAAATATAAGATACCCTTGGAAAGCCAGAATTTCTGAACTTCAGGTTAATTAATGATATTAATATGGTACAGCTCAGTAAGAAATATGAGGGGGTTCTAGTGTACTCAACACATTAACATTAGTACTTGACTTTAAAGTGGTGAAAGCAAGGTTGCAACAGCAACTATAATACATTGGTCCGAATGTGAAAAACATTAGCTATCATCCCTTTATAGGTCAGTTACTCATGAGAGTTAACATGCAAGCAGATGGAGAAAAGTACAATTCTCAGAAGGCCTAATAGCATGGCCAACAGGGACATGGGCTATTGGGAGCTGAAGTTCCGTTAGAACATTATAAATCAGGTTCTCAAGCCTGGTTTTATCATTCTTTTTTGCCCTACGCCAGTGGAAGTTTCATTTTTAATGTCTAGAACAGAAATCTAGACTGTACTCTTCAAAAGCCAATATAGGATAAAAATCTCCTCCAGTTTTTCAATATCAAATATTCCTCCCAATGGCTGTCATTCCAGATCAGTGTTTCTCAACCTTGAAAACGTTAAAATATGTAGTCTTTAACTCCAAGAATTCCCTAGCCAGCATAAAATTTGCCAGCATGAATGGCTGGGGAATTCTGGGAGTTGAAATCTGCGCATCTTAAAAGTTGCCAAGATTGAAAAACACTTGGAACTTTGTTTCATCTACAACCAGTAGATGGAAAGAACTAGATTTAAAGTAAGTCACCATCTTCATTTTAACCAATTTTACAGGGTTATTGTGAAGATTATCTTCATAATATACACCCTCGGAAAGCAGAGACTGATGGGTAACAAGTGGGGAGTAGAAATCAATAGAGCATCTCACCTGTGTTTGGGTCAGGCCCAGTTGTGCTGCTAATTCTGCCCTTTCAGGTAAAGCCAGATATTGGGTTTGTTGGAATCGCTGGTTGAGGGCCTGGAGCTGAAGGCTAGAATAAATGGTGCGTGGTTTCCGGATTTTCTTCCCTTTCCCATTGATGCGGATTTCTCCATTCTCTATGATGGTTGATTTCTCCAGTTCTTTTGAAAGAAACAGAATTAAAGAGAAAAATAAGATTCAATGTGTAGTTGAAGCCAACATCAGTGGCTGTTGAACTGCTTGGTTTTAAGAAGACTTGAGACTCACATCTATGTCAATACTTATTTGCAATTTTTTAAATTGCTGCTTCAGCATGGAGCCACTGACAGAATGCTGGACAAGAAAACCCCCAGCTTCACCTCCACTCCACTATGAAGATCACTGAGCACCTTTGTGCCTTGTTTATCCCTCAGTTTAATCCTCCTCATAAGATCGTTGTGAGGGTAAAGTTGGAGAGGAAATCATGTACACTGCTTGCTTCCCAAAGATAATAGTGAATTCCTTGGATTTCTGACTTTGCAACTGCTTTGTCGCTTTTCAGTAACAACAAAGCAATAAATTTCAATGGAACATGATGCAATTGCCTATGTCAGATTTCTGAGATAATAACCACAAATGTTGTTTGGCAGCTTATTGTTATGATATAATTTGATATCCAGAAAGCACCCTGCATAATATTTCCATCTCTCAATTTGTAGACATAAAACAAATCCTAATTCTAAAATGAACGGTAACAAGAATATCATGATATCTGTCCAAAATAATCACCATTCATAATGGGTATGATAAATGGTGGTTGTGTTGTATGGAAATGTACCCTGTGTATGGTCAGAGGCTCCTCATTCCTAATTTACCAGTCTGAAAATTAAATCTATGTAAAGGCAAATAAGCCTAGCAACTTCATGGTATATGTTCTGCTAGAGTAATGAATTCCAGAAACTTGACAGCTCTCAGCAATTGATAGCTGCACTGAAAAAAACTAAACCGAGAGACAATTTATATATGAACTTACAACTGAAGTTCTTCCATTGCCAAGAATGGATATTTTTTTTAAATATTTATGGGCTCCTTCAATAAGTCACTGTTTGATCTTGCCAAAATTAAATAATGGGAATTATAGATAACATTGATAGGAACCCCGAAGACAAGTCTGCTCCTAAATTCTGAATTGTGATAATTGCTTTTTGCCATTAAAGAACACAGGAAAAATCATAGAATCATATGAAGAACTTGAAATATAAGCTTAGTCCAAGGATATAGCATTGTCCAGGGGTGGGATTCAAATTTTTTAACAACTGGTTCTGTGGGCATGGCTTAGTTGGTGGGCATGGCTTGGTGGTCATGTTATTGGGTGGGCATGGCCAACTCAATATCACTCACATTGAGGCATGCATCTCCTCGCCTGGCCTCTCATGACTGTGGGGATGCTGCAACAGTCGTAAATGTGAAAAATGGTCATAAGTCACTTTTTTCAGTGCCATTGTAACTTTGAATGGTCACTCCACATAAGCAAAGTACCAGCAAAGGAGGGGAAAAAAACTCCAGAGACGTTCCTGAGACAGGAAGTCTAGTCTCACCAAGAATGTAATATGTTAACGGAGAGGCAGTTTCTGTAAGCAACACCAGAATGTTTCCTTCCTGCCTTCCTTACAGGATTACTCCAGTAATTTCTTCTAACAACCGGTTCTCTGAACTGCTTAGAATGTTAACAACCGGTTCTAGTAAATAGGTGCGAACTGGTAGAATCCCACCCCTGGCATTGTCTCCCTACATATTTAATCTCTGACTGGTAACCTTTTGCATCAGCTGGCATTTACAACCCTTCTTTAAGGGCAGCTGCATCTAAACTATAATACAGTAATTTAGACCTAAATTTAGACGGATCTATATCAGTCTGACTCCCAGACTCTCCAAGGCTTGAAGCAGGTATCTTTACTCATTTAGGGGTTGGCGGGGAGGACACTGGAGATCAGTACCAAATGTTGGATCCAGTATCCCCCAAATGTGCGTGTGTTGTCTTGGGAAAAATATAATTCTTTTCAGAATGAACCACCATGAAGTTTTGTCATGCCATTCAAGTATGTTTCTTGAATCACTATCTAAACAATTAGAAAGGAACTTTTAATCACTGGATTTGGATTTAAATCAAGGTACCCTGAATAAGTGGCTAACATGGGAATTTGGGGGAGAAATTTGAGCTCCAGTAGATTTCTACCACAAATAATAAGTATCATCAGAAAGATTATTCAACAGAATAAATAAACAAATGTTTTAGAAATATTTGTGATCAGAGGAAAGAAATGTTGGCAATTAAGCTGTTTTACACTCCTAGCTCACTGACATTCTGATCCAACAAAGCACATTTATCAGAAAAGTGTTTAACAGCCTGAAAACACTCTAGTTCAGGGGTTTCCTATCCCTCTGGTTCATGGACTGGCACCAGTCCATGGCATGCCAGAAACTAGGCTACACAAACAAGTGAAGCCACATCCGTGGGATGCAGGCAGCACACGAAATCACGCCCCCTCTGGTCTATGGAAAAACCTCTCTCTACGGAACCGGTCCCTAGTGCCCAAAATGTGTGTGCGTGTGAGGGGAGGGGCACTGCTTTAGTTGACTGGTCTATGCAAATACACAAGATGAAAAAGCATAGCCATTAAGAATGAAGAGAAGCAGGAATGCCATCATCCTGAACTGGCTTTGTGATATTATAACCTGATCTGATTGGTTAATTAACAATATTCTTTCACTATGGAATCATCAAACTGGCCAAGTCATTTTTGATTGATTGAGATAACATGGGCAAGAAGTAGTATAAATAACAAGAACATGCTACTGAAGCAGCTGTCAATCAGGCTGCAAAGAATATGGAACACATATAGAAAATGTTTATTAAGATCATTTGATGCAGCACAATTAAATTCAGTCTATTACAAAAAGCTTATCTTCTCTCAAAAAGAGCAAAGTTAATGGCAAAAAACAACAACCTGACATCTCTTTATATTTCAGTCTCAAAGATTCTTTTTTTTTTTTTTTCTGGATTAAAAAGGGGGAAAGGAGCTGCAGAGAGAGGGGCATGGAATGAAAGATACAAGGTCAAATTTTAAAGTTGCAAGGTATGTTTGATCAATGGCATTTTTTTTCTGTGCATTTTGATATAGTGCTGTAATTTGCTAAAAACAACAACAATGTTCAAAGAATCTAGCCTGTGTACCCAGTTCTTCCCAGCCTATTAGATTTGCTGAGCATTCCAAACTTACTGCATTATGGCAAGAATTCCTCATTATCCTCTGTGTTTTTAAAAACCTGCCTTTCCCCAGGAGAAAATAATTGAACAGAAGAAAGCAAGCCGGCAAAATGCAAACAGTTTCAGAGAGCAGTTGTGGCCCAATCAGGGGCCTTGTTTTCCCTCATCTCGGTTTGAAATTGTGTCAGGGGAAGAAGATGAGATCCCTCTATAGGGCTGCCTTTAATTCTCACCAGTGCAGATTTAATTAAGAAGCTTAGTTCATGTGCAAAGAGCAAGTCCAACTCTTCAGCTCAAGGAAGAATACTCCCTAGACGCCTCAGTAAACCACATCCATGTGCTACTGGAGAAGCCACAATAGAGCAGATAACACAAGATACAAAGTTTTGACAAGCTGAAAAAAATAGAGACAGTAGGAGGGAATAATAAGATACTACTCTCTTACAGATAATAACAGTTGTTTTTTTTTAAAAAAAAGTTTTTTGAAAGTTTGCTTCTGTATTTTTTAAAGGCTTCTAGCATTGCCTTGCCTTACAAAGAAGAAAGCATGTTCCTTAAAGTGTAACTTTTTCTTTCTTTTTGCCTTTTAGTTCAACATGGACTTTCAAGGGGGCTTAAAGCAACACACAAAGAAAATGCAAGTGAAAGAAACAAAACAAGGAATTTAATCCATGCATGATTCTTGTTTCAACCCTGACCAAAGGATACCAACATTTTATTCTTCGCAAACTATTTATTCCTGACCACATGTAGACTTCAATAGCAAAACATAGCTCAGTCCTGGAATTGGTGCTGCCCTATTGATGAAATATTGGTGGGATCACAGCCCTACAAATGAATTTCAATCCTGGTAAATTCTATTGGTGGAGTAATCAAGCAGACTTGGATAAGTGGTTATGTGCACACAGAGATACAAAGCCTTACCTGGAATGTAATTTATCCTTTAACATGGTGCCTTTCCCCATTCTAGGGGCAGTAGTGGATTTGAATTACCATGATCCCCTATGCACTGCCAGCTGGGAAATTCTGGGAGTCGATGTCCATGTATTTTAAACTTGCCAAGATTGAGAAACTCTGCCCTAAAGAAATCCAATAAATTTGGAGGACTCCAGATTGAAAAAGGCTGGTCTATAGTCATGGAGATCCAGACAAGTGTATTCCCTGCCAACTGAATAATTCTGGGCCACCCTATCTCACAGAGATATGGTTGCAAAGGAATGGATGGCAGCATTTTAAGATACCTCTTTCTCAAGTTCTGTCCTGCAAGAAAGGTGAAATGCAGAACTAAAAAAACCCACTCAGGTTGCTAGAGAATTTGCTGTAGTACAGTACTTAAGGAAGAAAATTAATCAAATTGATAATGACTCTTTTAATTTAATATTAGTATTATTTTCCTTTAAATTTGCATCCCATGTATTAAACCAGTGGGTTGTCATCCCCCCCCCTTTCTCAGCTACTCTTTTTATTTGATTGATAACCTTGATGATTTAGGTTTTCAGATCATTCTGCATTTCTAGGCATCCTTCCTCAAAAGTAAAAGACTTCAATGCATCTCACATCCAGATAAGCATAAATCTAAGTCTGCAAAATGCACATAACAAATTATATTTAATGGTTTTTTTTTTTAAATAACCATGCGTAAGATGAAAATCAACAAAGAGTACAATTCCTGATGAGATAATGTTTACAAACCGGCAGGAGAGCTACACATTTACTGTATTTTAACACCATGAAAACAAAACTAGTTTTGTTTACTAAGCTATGGTTAATTGAACCATAGTTTATGAAATGGACTTTTTTTTGGCATTGTCCAATTCACTGAACCATGAATGAACCAAAACACTAGCTGGATTCTTATAGCATCATTTACTGAATTAACATTTTTTACCTAAATTTGTCCAATACATTGAACTG